CATCTTTTGATGCACATCCATGATAGACTTTCAAAATAACACTACAGGGACTCTACAGAATAAAAGCCTCTTCCTTATACACACTCATACATTGTGGCATATTGCTCATAGCCATTTGTAATTTCATCACTGCAATGGCTCTGAGCATGCGGGCGGAGCCCGCCATTGGTGATTTCATCACTGCAATGGCTCTTAGAAGGCGGGCGAAGCCCGCCATTGGTGATTTCATCACTGCAATGGCTCTTAGCAGGCGGGCAGAGCCCGCCATTGGTGATTTTTTTCATCGCTGCAAGGGCTCCTAGCAGGCGGGCAGAGCCCGCCAACTGCGCTTTACCCACTGCGGTTCAATATGGACAACCCATATTACCCTTGTGCATCATATGCTGTGCACGTCTATTTCCCAGATTTCAGCACAAGTCGCACACAGCTCTCTTTGCCCATGACCTCGCCCTTTTTCCTTCCCTCAGCAGCCCTCAAAGGCGTAAGCAGTTGGTCTGGGGAGCCCCAATGTCACTTGCCAGGGCCGTATTGGCCCAGTTACCCAGACGGGCAGTAGGTGGCCCCCCTCAAAATTTCTTTAGAAATTTTCTAGTTATAAGTATTACTGTACTCTGATGTGAGAGATGGAGTAATACAAGGCCTTGTTCTGATCTTCCAATCAAACAGGTACTTTATGTCCTGTTATAAAGGTTTCTTTTATTGTTTGTCTGGAACTGAAGCTAATTAATACAAGTTGTGAAACAACTTATTTTTTAATGTGCAGATGTAAAACTATAATTAACAGACAGGGTGTGTCGCTCTGACATACTGTCAAGCTTTCTGACTGTGATATAGCTCTATCTTTTAATGGAATCCACCAATCAGTGCTGAGAGACATTGTTTGCACCTTTTAAACGGTGGGCTTCTGTTTGCTCTGAATTTTAAAACATGATTCCATTAAGGTCATTAACTCACTAAAGCCTTCTCCATCTACTGTGGTAACTGCTAGCATGTCACTTTCTGTCATGCTAAAAACATTCTGTCTTAATGCCTTTAACTTTCCTTTTGTCACATCCTCTCCTTCTGAACCCAACTTAGAAGATCTGCTGCTGCTGCTCCATGCAGCTCAGCTAAATGGGAGCTATTTAGGTCAGAACTAAAGGAGTTTATCCAGAGTTTATATTTACAACCCGAACAGAAGTTCACTCTGCATCCTTGGATCCATTAAAAAGTGGAAATAATCTGGACCACACTCTAGATCCATTCAGGATTTTGCTCGAGCATGGCTCTGCTCTGGCATTACTTCTATTACCAGTGAGGCTCCGCTTAAGAACCAATTATGTATTGAGGCTGCCTCATTCAGAGCCCTAATTCTCCGTCTGAGGACGGTAAATAAATGTGAACCTTTTTCTTGCAGGAAATGCCTCAGCTTCCTAACTCCACAATTTGTTTTCATCTCTAGTTCTTAAAGCTCCTCTAGTTAGATATAGTAATGCTATTTGGAGGAATGACTTTAGGCTTCTGAGGTTTCACTCTGAAATGTACCAGAAGTCTGTTGTTTAAATGGATAAAAAAAAAAAAAAAATCATTTTGTTTTTGAATGACTTGGCTTTAACTTTAAAACATGTCTGCCTGCCCAACAGGAGGACAGTGAGATCAACACAACCCCAAAAGTGTCAGCCTGTAGCACACCAGGTAAGTTTCTGAGGCCTTACTGCTTTCTTTCTCTGCTTTATTTTCTATCAGCTTTGTAGCATATTTCTAAAGCTTTGATATGCTTTAGTTCTCCTTTAAAAGAGCATAAAACAAAGGCATTGGAAATGTTTTTCCATCCTTTCTTCTGTTAGCTTTGTTAGAAGCAGATGCTGCTGGAGGATTCCACCTGTTAAAAGGGAGGTTTTCCTCCCCACTGTTGCCACATGAATATTCACTATGAGAGATTGCTGAAAAGTCAGCGACGCATTGAAAGCAACGCCAGATGCTAATCCAGGAGGAGGGAGTTCTAGTCAGCAACCTGATATAATCAGCGGAGTATACTTGGATAGAAAAACTTTAATCTGTGTTTGTATGACCAAAACGGTTCGCTCATTAGTTACATAGATGCAAATAATTTGATTGAAGGCCTGATCAGATCAAAAATGTTTCAGCTAAACATGTTTGAAGACAACACTGAAGAATCCAATCCTATTCAGAAAGAAATTTCATTCCAATGTACATAGGAGTTTTTTTCCAATCCCCATTCCGACCGGCGTCAACGGACACAACCATTTGGATCTTTGGAGTAAAATCTCCTCATGTGCAACATTAGTGTGCAGTTTTTCTCATTGCTAATCTTCATACAACAGCTCTGGTCCTCCTTAGAGCAGGATGTGGCTCTAAATATAATGTATGGAGGAACATGCCATCCCAACATCTATCCCTATAGCAAATATTAGCAGAAGGTACAAATGAGCCCTTAACTAAAATGATCACCAAAAACTAAAGTATGATGCGATGGAGGTCCATAATGTGTGAAAAAAACATCAACAGACACGACTAAAGAAAAGGAAATAGGCACTAGGAGCTACAGCTGAGGATGAGCGGACCAGTATGGGTTTGTTTGCAAAACAGGCAGCTTCTACAACTATTGAAGCGTGTCTAAAAAGCTAGACAGACAATCTGATCTAAAGCTCGGTACAAACGTCATGATCGGATCACTTATTTAGTGTCCAGTAGTTTAGACTACTGTAACAGTCTATTCTCATGTCTAAACAAAAAGGAGTTGTCTCGTCTTCAGCAGGTTGAGGACTCTGCGGCGAGGTTAATGACTCATACAAACAGAAGGACTCATATTACGCCGATTCTAAAAACTCTTCATTGGCTCCCAGTCTCTTTTTGGTTTCAGTTTAAAATCCTGGTGCTGACCTTCAGGGCCTTTTAAGGTCAGCCTCCCTCCTACATTAGAGACCAGAACCTGATCATGGTCCCTTATACTTGTTAAAGGACCAGGGGAGGTTTTGACAGCACTGTTTAACGATCTTCCACTTTCCTTGATTAGCTTACTTGATTCTGTTGATGTTTTTAAGAGTGAACAAAAAACCTATTGGTTTAAAAAAGCATTTTAATTCCAGTAGATTAAGGGTTGTTTTATGACCATGTCTTTTGTGACTGTAAATGTATTTTATTTGTATTTTAATTTTGTGAAGCATTTTGTGACCTCTATGTCTGTGAAAGGTACTATGTAAATAAACATTACTTAATTACTTACTACTACATGTAAACAGAGATTTAGATCCTCCGATCAAACAAGAATTAGATTGGATCTGAGAGATTTTATGCCGGTAAATGTAGCTATTGTGTAAATCTAATCTATAATAATTCCTATGTTGACTTGAGATTTAATGCATTACCAAAAACGGGTATCTTTTGAATATTTTTTTTTCCTTTTTTGTGGTTAAAGGGTAAAAAGAAAAGCTGGCGTTTTTAGTGCAGTCTGATGTTTTTAGTATTAGGTTTTAACTGATCATAGAGATTGAGTTCTTCACCTTCTGTCAGACCTGTTAATGTGTTTAATTCCTTGGTCACAGATTAAGCCAAAAAATTATCTTTTGGCTAATATCTATTTACTTTAATGTTTTAAAAAATCTACATCAGCAGAAGTTTGTCCTTTGTTGATTTGTGTGTTTTTGTTGTTTTGAAGACATGCCCAGGAAACCATGGGAAAGAACGAACACCATGAATGGTAGCAAATCTCCAGTGATTGGAAGGTAAAGTTTCCCCTCAGCAGACACTCTGATCATCTCATTACGTCTTCGTCTTAAACTCTAATTAATATGAGATTAATCTGAATCACTTTGAAAACTTTTACAAAACAACAAGCTGTTAGTATCAGCTAGCTTTAGCATGATGCACCTCTGGGCCGTTTAGTGATGCCTAACGACTCTAAAGCTTGTGTTGCCTCTATGTGCACAACAGGGGTTCCTCACACACTGCTATGTTGAGAAAATATCAGATGAGGGATGATGTTTCACTGTCTGACCTGGGGTTAAAGAGACGATAGCATTAGCTAAATATTAGGAGGAGTGGTGGTCTACCAGTTTGGGCATTTCGCCTGGAATCCAGAGGTTCTGACTTCCAGCCCCACTCCCGCACAATGGCAGCCCACTGCTCCCAAAGGGGATGGGTTAAATGCCGAGAGTTAATTTCATTGCTCTGTACTTGTGACAGTGGAATGACGATAAAAAGCTGCAATATTAGCCGATACTGGCTCAGATGTATAACCTGAAGCTCACAGACATTTTGACCTCTGATCGGGTTTATTAATCATGGAACAACGGTGAATCCCTCAAATAATTAATTGTAAATATATCAAACTTAGATAAAAGCGTCACAAAGAAAACCTAAACATAGTAAAGATTTCATAAGTGAAAATCATCTAAAACATCTGAAGAACTCTGAAATTTAAAAAATATAATATAAGATCCCCTTTTAAAATGTCTGTGTGAGGTAATTTGGTCGAGGATCAACAGCTTCAGCCACCGGTTCGGGTTTCTCTGTTGTCTTTTATTCCATTTCACAAACATTTCCTTGAGCTTCCAAGAGCTCAGTGCTTATATAATCAAGTGGCAACACACCTGCACTTGAGTGGACCAAGCCTCAATTAAACAGGAAAAGAAAAAAACAAAGTCTAAACAAAGAAACAAGAATAAAATTAATCTAATTTACAAACTCATCTACATAAAGAGAGAGTCTGCAAAATAAACAGTGTGAAACAAGAGTTACTTTAAAGAAAAACAAACAAAGCATTACTCCAAAGGAAACCCTCTAAAGCAAGATAATCAATGACATCATTTAATCAATTTAGTAGGAAATACTTAAACAAACAATGGTGAGTAAAAAGGAAAGTCAAAACCATTAATATATTTTGAAACAAAATAAACAATTTCATCCAATAATCCTGAAGTAATAGCTTCAACATAATGCTAACACAAACAAACCCGGGATAGTAAGTGAAAGTCAAAGTTGCAAACTAATGTTTAAATTTAAGCATTACAAATCAGAAGAAAGAATAAGGGACAAGTGGTAAACACAAACAGAACCACTTTGTCACAGTCTGTAGGTCTGAAACAAAGATTTGAAAGATGAAAGAAAATACTATCTGGTTTAACACAATATGTTCACTGCGCAGGTCATTAGATTTTTTTAAATAATAATAAATGCAATTAAAACACAAGAGGCACATCTGGTTCTACAGATCTAACATTTATCCTGATATATGCAGATTCATGTGAGCACAATTACAAAAGCACAATTACGCTGCAACAAGTTTTAATTTTAATAAGTCACTTTTACCTGCTTTAAGTGCATTTTTCCTAAATTTACTAGGTAAGTGAAAGACTTTGTTAATGCAACAAGACAATATATATTTAAAATAAGAAAAAACAATTACATTGTTTTATTTCAAGTGAATATTAACTAATTATGTTACTGTAAGAGTAAAAGTAAGAATTCTATTGGCAGATCATCTTATTTACCTGCTCAAATTGAGGCTAAAGACACTTGATTTAAGAAATGTTGACTTATATCTGGATTGTTTTTGCAGTGTAATAAATATATATAGCAGCATGTTTAATCAGAATTTTTAAATAAGACATTTGCCTTCTCACTTTGAAGTGGTCCAGAAGCCAAACAAAAGCACCTTATTTCATTCAGTAAGAATAGAATTGCCATGTTTGCACAGATCTCAGCCCATCTGCCTCGTACCAGCTGTCATGCATGGCAGGGACGGGGTCATGGTTTGGGCCTTTTTTACAAAAACACTTCAACAAAGGATCTAGATATGATCTGCAGTGCATGATATGTGAGGAATGCTATGGAACAGAGGTGAAAGATACAAGGTATGTTATTTTCATGGTCTGAGGAAGGTAGTGAGACACTAAGTGAAACACTGACGTGATCAGAACTCATCTGATAACTGAAGCATGGCTGACGCCGACTCATCAACTGGACAATGATCCCAATCATAGCAACAAATCTGCAACAAAGTGGCTAAAAAGAGATAAAAAAATCAAGACTAAAGTAATCCAAAGTCCAGCCTGATTAAATGCTGTGAGACTAAACTCCCAAACAAGGGGTAATTTTATTTGACATAAACATATAGTGATGTTTCTAAAGGTTAAAGCTTTAGGTTAACATGAGTTAATGTTTGTGAAGATCTCATAAAGACGCCTCATCAGGCAGCTAGAGCTGTAGGAAGTAAAGTCTGTGTCTCTGCTGCTCACACAGACGAGAGTCTCCGTGGAGAAATCCCATGGGAGCAGATTCCTCCTCCAGGTAGAGAGACAAAAGCTCTGAGGAGTTTCAGGAACCTTCTCCTCCAGTCCAGCTCTTTCCCTTAATCTCAGTTTGCTGTGATGGAAGTGTTCTTTTCCTTCTTTACAATTTAGAAAGCAGTAGTTGTTAAATGCTTGGAGGAATGTTTCTGTGTGTTCCTCTCTAACCCGCCGGCCTGCAGGGACCAGCTTTGTGTGGCTTTTTTCCCCCCGATGATGAAATTCAAACATCATCTTGTCGTTGTGTTTGCATGCTGTTTTCATCCAGACATTTTCTGTACTGCTCCAGAACAGAGGAATCTATGCGGCTGTGTCACATTCTGCGCACCCTCCCTATCATTAGTGGCCGCCCAGCACAGCGTAGAGTTGGCGTAGGATTATCTTTGCAGAGCCAGAGCAAATAGCGCCGTCGTTCACAGATAAGGCCGAGCGTATGCATGAGAGGGCACACCAGATGGGAGGTCTGGTTGGTTAAAACCAGAGCCAGAGAGCTGACTGAGCTCTCAGAATATTAAATATTCATTTTTCTACAGACTGGAAGAGGCCAACTTTCTCACACAGTTGCAGAATATCTGATCTTTGTTGAAGTTGTAGTGTGTAACATGTGGAAACAAACCGTTTCAGTTTTCAGCTCGATGACCTGCCGCTCAGCTCATTTCCTTTCCTTTCACTTTTCCCTCCTACCAAGCTTCCTCTCTTTAAACGGATTGGCTGCTTTCTGAGCGAGTATAGAGCAACCGGGGGCTCGGCCTAATTGCTGGCATCCTCTTTGCTTTTTTGGGGGCTTGACTTTAACACAATATTTTCTTAGTCCAGTAATTGTGTGAAAAACATACTGACAGATCCCTTTTTATTTATTTCAGAGAAACAAGACAAAGTCACAAATTATACATCATGTTAAAACTTGTCAGCCTCTGAACACGCTTAAATATATGGAAGAAAGTCAAAAGAAATCATGGTTTACATATCAAAGTATTCTTTCTAATAGTAGGAATAAATCCAGTTGTTCTAGTTCTGGATTCAGAAACACAAATGACCCCTGGGCTGAAAGATTTGATCCACCACCAGAGGTGATGGAGAACTATGAAAGATAAAATCTAATACAGCACAAACCTTTAGTGCAATCAGCTGTATTCTAATTCTAAATGCAGTGAATGAATGAATAGGGATTTATTTCAGGCAATTTTTCAGACAAACAAATTAACAAACATCAATAAATCAATCAACTAAATACACACAAAAGAGGGGCGTTGACATTAACCAAACCAAACACCAATTTCCAAACTAACTAAATTCACCTGAACATATATAGAAAAAAAACTCCACCAAATAATCCTGTCGGTATATACAGCCAGAGAAATGACAGTGATTAATGTAAATTTTCCGAAAAGGGTATGAATAAGTGAAACTTCACAACCCCCTCTCCCTCTAATTACTTAAAGTTGAGTAACCTTCCTTTAATGCAGCTAATGTTGGAGAAAGACTAACCCAAATTATGTTTGATTGGCTGAAAATTGACCAAAACAATTCTGTTGAACCCAAGAGATTTACAAGAAATCAGAATATTGCATTTTTTATATGTTGCAGGAAAAACTATCAAAAATATCAAATATGTGAGACTAAACAAGGTCTATCAAATATCAAATATAGTTTGATATTTTGTGGCCCATGTAATAAAGGTTTTTACACCCCTGACCTAAACTGACTTGTGTATCTAACCTTTATGGAGGGCTGGGGTTGGAAAGAACAACTTAAGAAAGGCATGTAGAGAAAACACCCAATATAATACAAAAATTGTAATAATGTTTTGATTTAAAACACAGTTACTAGTCCCCAGGCAAAACTCTATGCAGTAAATAACACTATCCCACCACCAAACATGGTGGTGAGAAGGCAGCTTGTGCTTCCATGCATGCCCTCTGTGTGAGCATGTTTCAAACAGGCTTTCTCTACATCAACATGCTGGGTTTTTCTTTTTACATTATTTATTCAAATGGTTCTTGCCACTGGTATAATTTTAAACTGAAACAGAATGAAGGACTGCTGATCAGCTGACGCCTAAAGCTAGCTGTTCAATTGGTGCTAATGCTAGCTGTTCAATTGGTGCTAATGCTAGCTGATCAGCTGGTGCTAACACCTGATCAGTAGCTCTTTTTCAGCCAAGCTGATCAGCTGGTGCTAACGCTAGCTGATTAGTAGCTCTCATTAAGCCAAGCTGATCAGCTGGTGCTAATGCTATCTGATCAATTGGTGCTAACGCTAGCTGTTTAGTAGCTCTCATTCAGCCAAGCTGATCAGCTGGTGCGAACACTAGCTGATCAATTGGTGCTAACGCTAGCTGTTTAGTAGCTCTCATTCAGCCAAGCTGATCAGCTGGTGCTTATGCTAGCTGATCAGCTGGTGCTAACGCTACCTGGTCAGTAGCTCATTTTCAGCCAAGCTGATCAGCTGGTGCTAACGCTAGCTGATCAGTAGCTCACATTCAGCCAAGCCGATCAGCTGGTGCTAATGCTAGTTGATCAGTAGCTCTCATTCAACCTAGCTGATCACATAGTCCGTTCTTAAGAAGAACACAGAAGCCTCTTATTAGTAGGCTCTAAATAATACTAAATTTTAACTTATTTATACTTGTACTGAATAGGCTGTAAACAATGCATTATTCTAATGTTATGCTATTCCAGCAAGTACTTCGTAAATAAAACAACAAAAGTCAGTCAGATAAACGGAAAATCATATGAACATTTTTTCAAATAAAAAAGTGGTTAAAAAAAACACCATCAGAGCCAGCGGTTCTTCACACAAGACTAGGCTGAGATAGAGCTACTGCAGAATGTCGTTAGCCCTGGCTACGGTTAGCCTTTGAGGACCAGTGGTGGCCACAGTCCTCTCAACATTGGATAGGCCATGTAGTGACGATTTAAAGTATAATGTTCTCGACTCAATCTGAAAATGTAGATTTGTAGAACAACAGGAGCAAAACAGTAAACTTTTAGCTTAACATTCTGAGATCTGGAAGCTGCTGCTGCTGCAGTGCATGCTGGGATAACTATCAGTCTGAAGAACGCACATGTCAGTTCTGATGGATGGTAGCACTAATGCTAGCTGATAGACTAGCACTAATGCTAGCTGATAGACTAGCACTAATGCTAGCTGATAGACTAGCAGTAATGCTAGCTGATAGACTACCACTAAGGCTAGCTGATAGACTACCACTAAGGCTAGCTGATAGACTAGCACTAATGTTAGCTGATAGAATAGCACTTACGCTAGCTGATAGACTAGCAGTAATGCTAGCTGATAGACTACCACTAAGGCTAGCTGATAGACTAGCACTAATGCTAGCTGATAGAATAGCACTAGCGCTAGCTGATAGACTAGCAATAACGCTAGCTGATAGACTAGCACTAATGCTAGCTAATCTGCTTGATTCTTAAAGGGAAATGGGCTACGATCAAAACACACTATTTTAATGCTTGACACTTGTCAAAAATGTGCCATTTTTGAAACCCTGCCTTAAATATCAATACTTTATTACAGAGGTGTGTTTTGTTTTTTTATGTACATATCCACAAAGTCGTATCTTTGAAAGGTTCTCTCTGTAGCCTAAGCTTCCTCTTGGTTCTTTGTTTGACAGACCCAAATCCACCCCGACACCCACTGCATCCTTAAGTGCCAACGGTGTGCCAACAGAAACGGTTGACTATGACAGATTGAAACAGGTAAGAGATCATTCTGAAGATTCCTACAAGATTACAATTATGGACCAAGTCTTATTTCTGCAATGTCTAATATAAAAAACTTTCTGCTTTTAGCAGGTTTACAGATATTATTTGTAATTATATCAAAGACACTATTCTGTCTGTACAGGACTAACAGATTCAAAATGAAGTCTTTCTCAGACTTTTACTGCAGATATTTATAAAACAAAGTATTTCAGGTTAATCCAGGTATTTATGGTAGCTATTTAGAAAGGAAAGTGAATTTTTGATAAGTCCTATGAACATTGATATGCATTTTATATCACAGTCAATTTATATTCTCCTAATCTATCAAATTAAAAATTGGATTTCCTCTGTTTTACCAGGGTTTGCTGCTGTCTCTGATTTTGTTTAATGCCCTGGTTGAATATATTTTTTGTTCTATATAAATAAAGGTAGCCATGTCACCAGTGAGCTAGCATTGTTGGGTGAAATATTTGTGTACTCCCAATCCTCTCTGTACCTGCTGGTGTGAGATATCAGCTGTACTGATGGTCAGGTACTGGTAAACAGCAGACCTGACAACACAACCCAAGTAGGGAACAATGAGTTTCGCCAAATATCCAAATTGCTAATTTTTTTTTAGACCAAAAATTGATATTTAAACAATATTCCAATTGGGAATTTTGATTTAAATTATTTCCTCTGCACCAACAACCAGCATGTAGTTCCAAAAAAGTTAATGAACAATGTTCCAAGTTTTAATACGTTTCATAAATTCAAATGTCAGAAATAGCGTTGAGTTCGAAGTTTTATATCAGGAGTAACCAATTAAAATCAGCGGGCTCCAATTAAAGAAAATCATCAGCCAGCAAAGGTCCGGAGACATTTTTAACTATAATCTGTTACTTTAAACACAATTTAACACTGAAATAAAATTAGGTGTTTATGCATCCATGTTGTACATTTAATTTTTAAATAAAAAAATATACAAAAATAAACATAAAATGTTTCCATTTTAAATCTAAAGTGTGTTTTTAAGTAGAAAACAACAATCGTTCATTTTGGTGTATATGGACAATTTCCTGATTCACATATTTTATAAATAAACTGACCGTTTTCTGTCTTAATGTTCACAGTGGGCTTAATGCTGCCCTGCAAGGCTTTAAACCTGGTTTGAATGGAGACTAAGCCATTCTAAAGCACATATCAAGGAGCTCATTTTGAGCCTGGATCCATATTTATTTTTGATTCTGTTCATGGTGGAGAATCCTGCTTCACAGCAGCAGGTTGAGCCAAACATCCTCTAAATGTTCAGGGTCATCTTTGAGCACCATTTCACTTTTCTTTCACCAGTTCACCGCAGTTCTTCCTGCAGTCCACTCTTTCTCTGCGCTCTTTTTCTCATCGTCTTCTCCTTCTTTCCCATCGCCTGTGGTCCACTGTGGTCCGTGACCTCTGTTTTATAGAGTAGCCCATCAAAACCTTTACTTTAACTGTATAAAACCTCAAACTCAACCCTATTCCTGTCATTTTGAATTGAAAAAGCTTTCTGGAAGAGAAGAGACACGTCTTCAAACTTGGAAACAAAGTCCATTGGATTATCTTTAACCTTTTTATAATAACTATGTCCTGGATGACTGAGAATCTTCACCAGCATCAGCATGTAGCTGTTTTACTCCAGGGTTTCATTGTTTTCATTACCTCACTAGCTTGCTGTCGTTGCTGAGTGTTCTGTTGTTGGACTTTATTGTTGGGTGGGAAAGTTCCTACATTAGCTGCATAGCTGCGACTCTCCCACCCACCACCCACCCCGTCAGGCAGCAAGCCCACTTTTTGTGTGGTGATAAAGTCTGTTCTACTCTTGTTAAAGGTGAAACCTATAATTTTAACTCCTTCTCTTCTGTTTCTGCACCATTTGCCAGCTGGTTGCTAGGTCCTTTAAAAATTAGCCTTAGCAAACATTTAATTTATGTATGCAGAAAGAAGCAAAAATCTCTGCATGGTTTTCTGAGCTGCTTTGCTTCCATAAATCGGCACTAACGCTCAAAAGCTTGATCCAATCCCTGAATCTAACCTAATATTCTTTTTGGTGCAGAATCCTTTCATGTCGCTGTTGCCATTGGGGATGCACTGTCAGAGGCGGTTCTAGACAGGGCCAACACGGGCCTGTGCCCCTGCTGGCCCCTTTTATGGCCCCTGTACTGAAAACACTCACAACAAAATTAATGTATTAAGCAGGTGCAATTATTTAAAATAAATATCTTTTTAGATTTGTTTTTGCAGTGTAACTAAATCAATTTCTAATGATATGCGATGAAAAAAAGAGACTTTTATTTATTTTTACCTTGGACAAATTTAATATTTTGCCTGGACAATTTACTTTAACAATTATTTAGAAATTGCGAGCAGCTTTAGCTTTTAGCTTTCTCAGCTGTTCTGAGAAATGATCACATCCGTAAGTTTTTATCCATAAGATCAAGTTGCAACTTGATCTAACTGGGCTTTATGGCTCATTTATAATAATAAACACTCTCATCCTATGTTTTCTTGTTTGTGTGTGTTTGTGTTATTCTTTGGTTCTATACACTGAATTTCTCCACTGTGAGATCAATAAAGTCTATCTTATCTTATTGTAGCCAGAAGTACTTTATATGATGGACTCATCAAAATTTGCAAACCAATTATTCATATACTGCACATATTTTTCAGTACAATGTGTACTTTTATTTTGCACTGTTCTATGCCCTTATAATGCCCTAATATAATGTGTAAATTGAGCCTCTGCAATTTGAAAAATAGTTTTGTAAAATTGAGATTATACTGCAAATGCACTTTTTTACCAAGCCCACTAATAAACAGGTTATTTAGCATAGGAAACGGTGACAATCAGAAGTATTTCAGCTACTAGACTGATAAAAAAATGTCAACTTGTTAAAAATCTCTTTTAGATCAGTGCTGATAGTCAGCTGAGTGCTTTTCTGCCTTCAGATTTAATCAATGAAACCTTTGATGCAGTTTTAACACAATATCACCATTCATTATCCACTTCTGTCTGATTATTTGATCTTTTTATTTTTTTGCTATAAATTTGAGCTCTATTTGAGGTTTTATTTCCATAGAGACCAAAGTATTGGTTCAATCTGTTTAGAAATGTCTAAAGCATTTCCTCTCCTTGGTTAGTTGTGTCATTGCTAAACTGGGCAGAAGTAGTGGTGGGGTGTGGGCAGCTCCTCCCTCTGACCTCTCTGAATGAGTCGGTTAGATAAGTCGAGTCTCCGAGTCCTGCCTATCTACTGGCAGACTGCCGCTCTCGTTCCCATGGTCATTTTCTCATTCCCAGAGCTCAGAGTTGAAGGATCAATCATGTCAGTTGTGGTGCCGCTGAGCCCCTCTCTGCTGCCTCTGTCAGCTGTTTAGGTCTTGGTGTTATTAAATCAGTCTTTGAGCCTAATCTGATGGGGATTCCCACTCAGGGATTAGCTTCCCTCCTGTTACCAGGAGCTAACCACCTCCTCCTAGCAGCAGGAGCTGCTCCATGGTTCTCAACCTGCTAACTTCTCTGAGCTGCTCAAACATTTCTCTGTGTTTGAGAAAACTTCATGTTTGTTTCTTTTTATTTTCCCAGGATATCCTTGATGAAATGAGAAAGGAGCTGTCCAAACTAAAAGAAGAGCTCATTGATGGTAATTATTATAGCTGTGAAACTTTAATGTCTGTCTTCTGATCTTCCTTCCTCATATTTACAGAAGACTTCATTTTTATTCAACGCATGTTGAAAACAGGAAGTGAAATAACGTCATTTCAGAAACACGCAGTTAGTCAAAGGTTGACTTTAGTTTCGGTGCATTCTGTTGCCCTCATGTTCCCCCAAATGTGAAACGAGGCTCCTTTTACCCACAGAAGGCCTGCAGCCTGTTTGGGTTTTTGTCTTTTTTTTTTTTAGTTTTTTTTTTTTTACTCTTTTAGACTTAATTTATATAGTTCTATATAATCCTAGTATTTTTTTCTAATCATAGTAACAGCTCACTTGGAATTATAGATATGATCCCCCAGTGGCTCCATCAGGAACACATTCACAAACACCCAGATCAGTCACAGCTTTAGCGTCAGCTAAACTCACAGTAATTGTAATGTTGCAGTTAGCAGTAATTCTGGGATGTTTACTCACTGTTTAGATTTGACTATTGTTTGCTGCTAAATTGTTTATGGGTGAAACTTGTGCCATCAGGGACTTAAATTATAATTGCCCTGATTGAATCTGTATTCATGTCATTTGAAATTAACTAAATCACTTTAAAAAACAATTTAACTTTATGAAAACAGAATATTTAATGGTGTTAAAGGTAGATTCTATTTCTACACCTCGAAGCTTTCACCTCAAAGATCACACGGGACAAACTTTTTTAATAAAACTTCATAACTTATATGTATTAAATAACAATGAGACATGACAACAGATTTTGATAGAAACTGTAATCTTACTCAGATCACAGAACTTGCTTAGAGTTACAGAAAGCAGCTGCTTACCAACCAGGCTCACTTCTCAGGAATTCGCCTCAAATCACATTTAATGAAGCATTTTATACATCTCCAATCTGCCACATCATTACATCATACAGGTGCTGGTCATAAAATTAGAATATCATGAAAAAGTAGATTGATTTCAGTAATTCCATTTAAAAAGTGAAACTTGTATATTATATTCATACATTACATACAAACTCATATATTTCAGATGTTTATTTTGTTTAATTTTGATGATTACAAATGACAACAAATGAAAATCTCAAATTCATCATATCAGAAAATTAGAATATTACTGAAGACCAATAAAAACAAAGGATTTATAGAAATGTTGGCCAACTGAAAAGTATGAACATGAAAAGTATGAGCATGTACAGCACTCAGTATTTAGTTGGGCCTCCTTTGGCCTGTATTACTGCAGCAATGCGGCGTGGCATGGAGTCGATCAGTCTGTGGCACTGCTCAGGTGTTATGATAGCCCAGGTTGCTCTAATAGTGGCTTTTAGCTCTTCTGAATTGTTGGGTCTGGTGTATTGCATCTTCTTCTTCACAATACCCCATAGATTTTCTATGGGGTTAAGGTCAGGAGAGTTTGCTGGCCAATTAAGAACAGGGATACCATGGTCCTTCAACCAGGTACTGGTAGCTTTGGCACTGTGTGCAGGTGCCAAGTCCTGTTGGAAAATGAAATCTGCATCTCCAAAAAGTTGGTCAGCTGCAGGAAGCATGAAGTGCTCTAAAACTTCCTGGTATGTGGCTGCGTTGACCCTGGACCTCAGAAAACACAATGGACCAACACCAGCAGATGACATGGCACCCCAAACCATCACTGACTGTGGAAACTTTACACTGGACTTCAAGCAACGTGGATGAAGTGCCTCTCTTCTTTTCCTCCAGACTCTGGGACCTTGATTTCCAAAGGAAATGCAAAATTTACTTTCATCAGAGAACATGACTTTGGACCACTCACCAGCAGTCCAGTCCTGTTTCTCTTTAGCCCAGGCAAGACGCTTCTGACGCTGTCTGTGGTTCAAGAGTGGCTTGACACAAGGAATGCGACAGCAGAAACCCATGTCTTTCATACGTCTGTGTGTGGTGGTTCTTGAAGCACTCACTCCAGCTGCAGTCCACTCTTTGTGAATCTCCCCCACATTTTTGAATGGGTTTTGTTTCACAATCCTCTCCAGGGTGCGGTTATCTCTCTTGCTTGTACACTTTTTTCGACCACATCTTTTCCTTCCCTTCGCCTCTCTATTAATGTGCTTGGACACTGAGCTCTGTGAACAGCCAGCCTCTTTAGCGATGACCTTTTGTGTCTTGCCCTCCTTGTGCAAGGTGTCGATGGTCGTCTTTTGGACAACTGTCAAGTCAGCAGTCTTCCCCATGATTGTGTAGCCTATAGAACTAGACTGAAAGACCATTTAAAGGCTTTTGCAGGTGGTTTGAGTTAATTAGCTGATTAGAGTGTGGCACCAGGGGCCATCAATTTTGAGCCTTTTCACAATATTCTAATTTTCTGATATGATGAATTTGAGATTTTCATTTGTTGTCATTTGTAATCATCAAAATTAAACAAAATAAACATCTGAAATATATGAGTTTGTATGTAATGTATGAATATAATATACAAGTTTCACTTTTTAAATGGAATTACTGAAATCAATCTACTTTTTCATGATATTCTAATTTTATGACCAGCACCTGTACATGTTTTTCAGGTGAGGAGACATCCATGTCTCCAGCCTTATCAAAATATTACTTTGTTCTCAGCTGAAGCACGCCGCTCTCCTTCCATTCCCAAATCTTTGCCACATGCAGAATAAAGATTATGACTGTATATATCCAGACCGAGGAAGTGTCCTAATTAGATTATCTATTGGGGAAAACGTCAGTTCTGACACGCAACAGGAAGCTAATATTAATTAAGGTGTAATAAACTCAAACATAATTTGAAAATGTTTTCATTTCAAGTTTAAACCGGTCGCTTTTTACTTTCAGCTTGATAATTGAATTTCAGTTTTTCTGTGACGGGCATCTGTGGTTGTCCGACACAAAGAAACTGAAATTTCAAGCTGAAATTGAATCATAGAACACAAATATGTCCTCAGACCAAATTCATTCAGTTTAGAACCATAAGATTCAGTTTTATTTTGTAGAATGTGTTTAAACTAGTTTGCTGAGTTTCAGTTTGCAGGAATGCAGATTCAGTCCATGGACGTCCAGTCTGTTTCTGATGTTCAGTTTCTGCCCTCTTTAACCCAGAACTGTAAAGACCTTAGAAAGGATCAGCTGACCTTCTGTGTCCTTTTCCTCTTTCTGTGCAGCAATCAGGGAGGAGTTGGGCAAGTCCAGCACCGCGTAGAGGATCCAAACTCCCTTTTCCTAAAACACCCACACCCATGTGACCAGAAAGCCAACCACAGTCCGTTTATGACCAGACAGCAAGCAATCACAAAGATGGAGACTTTGATGAGAATCGCTTTATCCCACAGAAAGGACAGCATTCGGTGTCTGATGGAGCAGCAGGTTGGAAGTAGGAAGATGCTACTTACTGACTCCCCCCTCAGCCCCCCCCCCCCCCCCCCCCCCCCCACCTCCCTGCCAAGGGCATCGCCTCCTGGGGGACCGGGCACAGTCTGCCAGAGAAGCGACTGTCTTTATGCAAACACGGTTTCTCTTTTTGTATCCCCTACGGTAACAACGGCACCTAAATGCAACGTCGAACTCCTCACTGATGCTGTAGTGACCCCTGATGCTCACAGTCAGAACTCCTGGAATTTCCTATCAGATGTTTTGATGAACTTGGAGACAGGAAGAAATCTGGGACAGAACTAAAAAAAAAAAAAAACAGACTTTTTTCCCCATAATGCCATTGGGGTAGCGCGTGTGTGTGGCTGAGTGTGAGCGCGTATGAGGGACTGCCAGTCTCTGCTGTAGTCCCACTCCGCAGGACACTGTAAAGCTCGTCTTCCTCAAATGCTATTTTAACCTGAATATGTACAAAACAAAGAGAGAGTTATTTAGAGAGAGTATCTATCAACCACGTCTGTTTGGTCTAGATCTATAGTACGGCCATATCTAGTAGCTCAATAATCCCTCATGTCTGTCAGTTGGTGGGCTCCTAACCTGAGGTGTTTTTATTCTGTCTGAATTAGTTTCCACTCATTTATTTCTCTGTAACATTCAGCAGCAGGTGGATGAGACTCTTTAGGATGGGCGCCCCCTGCTAGGATGGCGCCATGGCGATACGGGGTCATACTCATCCTTTGTTACACCTGAGTGCTCTGTTGTTGGTTCGTCAGTGCGATAGGATCACAAAGTCTGCCACGAAACTGCATTAAGCGTCTTGAGTTTTATTACAAGCAATAAGTGTAGCATTAGCTCCAATGCCCTGACTCGCCATCCCTGCGCCGCCGCGGCTTTTCACGCATCGCCTTTGGTGGATAAAAACCATCAGAGCACTGTAAACATCCCCCATTCTGAAAATCACCAAACTCATTTTGTTTTTTAGCTTTTTTTATTCTATCAAACCCAATGATAATATATAACCATACATCCATAACCTTTAACTGTAGAGAACCTTTCCCCATGCAGCCCACATGCATGTCCATCTACGGACGCAGGCGTGCCATTTTCTTCCCTCCTCCATTGCTCACTGAGGAGCTTTCTTTTTTGTTTTTTGTTTTTTTTCAAACATAAAACTAAGTTTTCCCAGTCCTGTTATCGACTAAACACGTGGAGTTCACTTTGACTCTTTCTATTTAGTCCAAAACTCAAAGTACAATCAACTTGAGAGGGGTGTGTTGCAAGCTTAGAGGCTGATTTCCAGATTACAGATTAGAGATTAGAGGTCAGATGACCCATTTAAAGGCCACGTTACAGCTCAGTATTCCGGTTTTGTCTGAATGAGATCCTGAAGAGGGAGAGCTTCATCATCACAGCGTAACCTAAAAAATGCCTTAGGGCCGAGCGCCTGGATCTGTAGGGGAAACTGATTGGTCTCGCATCCAGTTGGATTCTCCTCAAACAGCTACAACCTGAGGAGGAACCAGAGCAGCGTTCAAAAAATGTCCTGCTGTGCGGCGACGACGTGAACCCTTTCCAACTTCCCACCAGGTTTGATTACAGAGGCTGAAAAAATGATGGAGCGTTTCATATTTGCTGTTGCAGCCTTCCACTTCTCTGCTAAAAGTCTTGAACTCTTGAACGCAGCCCTAATGAACAGAAGACAGCTTTAAACACCTCTCTGCTTCCTCTATTTATCCGTACAAACTAGCAAAATTTTCACCTTCAGTAACAGGATCAGGATGATGGCTAATAAAGTGTGCTGCGTTCACTGACCAGGTGAAAAGATTGGATTTTTTTTTTAATTCCATGAAAAAAAAAAAGCTGATGTCCATCTTTTATCCATAAATCCTGCTGGATCTCATTCGATAAAACTCTTAAAGGGCTTTTGATGTCACAGCTTTGTTACACATCGCACTCAGTCATCCCTCCGCCATCAGAAACGGCATTAAAGTAACGGTTATGGCGTCGCTTCACTTGGATAGCCGATACCATCCGTTTTTCATTTAGCTGTGTATATATATATTATTTCTAGCAGGCATGCTATGGCTGTCTATTAATTATAAAAACTCATCTTCACCTCAAACTTTTTCTGATAAATCAGCCAGCCGTCAGGCTTCTCTGAGCTGCACATTTACTCAGAAATGATTGCACTTTAAGACAAAAACTGGCAAAGCAATCCAGCATCCCCTAAAACCAGTCATTTAGGGCGTCTGTTGCCAGCAGCAGTGTGGCTCCTCTCACCAAAGGATCTAAGCCAGTAGCCTCCTGCTGAACATCACTCTCAACAAAGTCGCCTTTCTTATTTTTGTATCATCCTGTCTAGAGACCTAAAAGCGAAGGTGTTTTAGGTGTCCGGTGAAATGCTTTTGGTACGGGGGGGGGGGGGGGGGGGGGGGGTCTCTTTGTGAAGCGATGTGGTTTGTGCCTTGTTCCGAAGTTGCATTTAATATGTCAAAGTAATGCGTAGAGGCGGTCTTTGTTTCTTTCTTCATTTGTCTTCATGGTCCGACTCATTTAAAGGGAGCATTCAGTCAGGTTTGGGCTTTTAATCACGCTTCCACCAAGATTATTTTAACCTAAATGTGATTAATCTAAACTGTTTTTTCTAAAGTTCAGAGGTACAATCAAACTTTGATAATAGAAGTCCTGATCTTCATTCTGATGTAATTTCTGATATTAACCTGAATCTGTCATTAGAAGTGGAGACGGATAGCTGTGTTCATGTTAAAGACTGTTTTTGGTTCAGCATCTCCACTTTCTTCAAACCAGAGTCAAATCAGCTCCACCTTATTATGAGGAGGAAGTTTCCCTGTGAATCTAGAGATCTGCAGAGGAAAATGAAGATGTGACCTGGCTGCAGTTAGTTGCATTCTTTTCTTATCTGCATTGTACCATACTGTTACTCATGTTAATCAGTCTTTTCTTACTAGCTAACATGCTGTTTTGTTTGAGCAAATAAAATAAGTTGCAATAAAAGTTAAGAATGGCTTCATTTTTAGCGTCTTGGTGTCAGATGTGCATGACTTTAAACCTGGACTCAAAATGTAGCGCGTTAAAACATGGCTAAAGCTTTCCATCCTGCAGTTTATTTCAATAGGAAACCAGAGAAGGATTCAAATGTCTGTGGGAAATAACTTCCTGCTCTCGCCTCGTCAATAACTGTTGCTGTGCGTTTTAGGCTACGTTCAGACCGTAAGAAGCAGGAGCAGCAAAAACGTGTATGCTGCTTCATTTTTGATGCTTGTACAAGTTTAGTTCTGGAGTGTGGCTGAAGCATCTTTGCTCCTCTGGCTGAACGGTGGAAAAAGTGGGTCTGATACGCGTTGGGCGGAGCTACCCTATCCTTTCTTTGCCTGTAACAATGGCAGCTATATTTGCTGCGATCAGTGGGTAAAAAGTTGTTTTAATATGTTTTTAAGTGAGAAAGTCGACCTGAAATCTTCATCTATGCAGTCAGTTCATCCAGATTCCCATCCTGCTTTCAATTATTTCTCTCTTGGAGCCGTTCAGACCTCCGTACACCTGCAGTGCGCTGTCACTGGGAATCCTGTTCAACTGCAGCCTCTGACCCGGTCGCCTCTTCGCGGTTTGCTGCTACTGTTTCCACTGGCTGGAAGTCGATGTTATCATTTTTCATGTACATAATCCAAACTGCATGCACCAAAATACCGTAATTTTCTGACTATTAGCCGCACCTGAATATAAGCCGCAGAAGCTAAATTGCATGATTTGTACATATACAAGCCACACTGGACTATAAGCCGCAGGTTTTTTATGTTTAATTACCATACGGTTCGTGCTCAGAGAGGATTGTCGGGAAAGAGGCAACTGTTTGAGGAAGCTCCTATTTATTATTTCTACCGGTACATTTGTTTTCCATAATGAGGGTGTCACACAAACAGTCTTGCGCTCGCAATGTCCCTCTTTCTCGCTGTCGTTCTGTGTCGTACCACTCGCAGTAGAAGTCTGCTTCCGGAGGACCTCCGCATTCCCGGCTACCGTACTTGTGTGTTGAAGCAAATGTGACGTCAACATGGTGGATGGTAAAATCCATAGATTTAGGTATTACCCTAGTGGCCGTTAGCTGTAAAAGTCCGTAGATAAGCCACGTTGTTATGTTATATATATTGTTAAGACGTGAGGTCGAAAAATGGGGAAAAAGTTGCGGCTTATAGTCCGAAAATGACGGTAATAAAAGCGAAAATATTTTGCCGGCAGATTTTAAGTTAATTTAGGCGTTAATAAATTGTTTCAGAGGAGTGATCACAGCGCTCTGCATCATCAGCGTTGTGTTTGTCTCCCTGCCAGCTCCCAGATCAGCTTCTCTGATTGGTTGATACGGCGCGTCCAGCAGCAAACTTTTAATTTTTCCAACTCCATCAGCTGCTGCTTCCCGTGCACGTCCAGTGTGTCAGATGCTCAGAAGCTCATCAGGTGCTGCTCCTGCTGCTTAAAACGAGCTACAGGACCTTTTGCTGCGCCAAGATGCGCGTCAACCATTGACTCTGCATGTAAACTAGCTGCTACTGCTGCTTGCGGTCTGAACGTAGCATTAGCCAGCTGGCTAATGAAGGCTGCCTTATTTTTCCCTCAGCTATAATAAAGGTAAGTTTATCCTACTTTTTTTTTATTTTTTTTATAGTGTTGGTTATTTTTGAGTGTTTAGCTATGCACTGAAATCTGCTTTAAATGGAAATTGGAAAAAAAAAAAATGCAATCCAGAAATTAAACCATGAAAATATTTTGCTAAAAAAATTTGAGTAACTTCTTTTTTTCTCACTCTTTTTTTGTTTTTGTTTTTATTAAAATGTTATTTTTTTGTCTAATTTCTAGGATTTTTTTTTTTTTTTTTACAAAAAGTGGAACAAACTTCAATCCATAGAGGACCACTCATAACTGTTTAATTTGTGCTTAAATGTTTTGAGAACATTAATTTGATCTGATCCTTTTTTTTTACTTAAAGTGGGTGAAGTTCACCCTCTTATTAAATGGTGCGCAATTTAGGACACAATTTGCCATCAAACTGTGAACAATTCAGAGAAAAATAAATGTTTTTCCTTTAAGGTGAGCACCAGCTGAACTGCTGTGTATTTCTGTGTATTATCATGGTGCAGCAGCAGACAGGTGGTCCATGGCGGCCTCCCTCAGTGGTATAAACTGGACAATAATTCCTTCTCTTTTCTTAAAAAAAAACCTGAAGGCACGTTTACGTTATCCACTCAAACTTAGACATGTTTTTGTGTTTTTATGTTATGATTTTGCATCTGCAGAAGGAAGAATGAATCTCTAGCTTTAAGAGATCTCTTCTTTTTACCCAACAGCCATACAGGTAAGTCACCAAACTAAAAGTCTATGTACTTTTATTAATTGGGAAGTTTGTCTGATATTCTTAAATAGAGACAGGACTTTAGAGGAACACTAATCTCATATTGCTTTAATGGAGGCAGCAGAAGCAAACATTGTCATATTCAATTGTTTTTCTGTTTTTCTTTATTATTATTATCAACTTATTGTTTTTCTGTTTTTCTTTATTATTATTATCAAGTGGGAATGCTTAAGCATTCCCACTTATTGTTTTTCTGTTTTTCTTTATTGTGTGAATGCTGTAGGCATTCACACTATTGAGATCCTGTTTCTCTTTATTCTTTATTGTGTGAATGCTGTAGGCATTCACACTATTGAGATCCTGTTTCTCTTTATTCTTTATTGTGTGAATGCTGTAGGCATTCACACTATTGAGATCCTGTTTCTCTTTATTCTTTATTGTGTGAATGCTGTAGGCATTCACACTATTGAGATCCTGTTTCTCTTTATTCTTTATTTATTTTTATTCTTCCGACCATTTTTTTGTCACGCTACTACTTCTGCATACTTTATGCTATTTCAACCATTCAAATTTCACAATATTCAGCTCATTTAGGACATGTGCGCTATGTCTTTTTGTATTTCTACCTCTTTTGCTTTTTAAATTATTCAGCTTTTTCTGCAAATTTTTGCCTCATTGAAATGAATGGCATTTTGCTAAAATTCTGCTAAATCTTCTGCTATTTTGCTCTTTAACTACTTCTGCATACTTTCAGCTAGAAACACCATTCAACTTTTAAAATGTTTCCGTATCTTTCTGCTATTACAGTTTAACTCGGCTTTTTGCTAACTTTTACAGTTTTGCTTCAGTGAAGCTTCAAACTTTTAAACAATTTTTAAAGATTTTCAAATTTATAATGGAAGTCTATGGACGAATGTCACTGC